CACATGATAGAGGCATGCCTCTCAGCCTTGTGCTTTCAACCCTACAATTCTAACAATTTTACTACTATTAACTTTACAACTTGATTTTGGGTCAAAATCCCGAACAACAGATTATCGAAAGAACATAGCACCGACTAAATTGGCCAGCATTATAGCTAGTGCCGGCTAACTTTGTCGGTATTATGTTCTTTCAGGAATCCGTTTTTCGAGATTTTGACCCAAATTCTTACAACTTTTATTAAAGCTTTAAAAAAAATTATCTTAAAAAAGATAACTTATCTTGTGAGTAGAGCTAAATTTAGCTCTATTATAAAATTTATATTAAATTTTCTCTAACTTTTATTATAACAATACTATTGTTTACAAAAAAATTATAAATAAATAAATTTTATAAAAATTATTATTAAATTTTTTATATAAATAATTTTAATTAATTAAAATTAATATATATTTATAATTAATTATAATTAATTATATTATTAATTAATTAATAATATTTTTGTTAATTATAATTAATTAAATTTATTAATTATAATTAATTAATCTAATTGTATTATTATATAATACTTTTAAAATTTTCTTGTATTGCTTAAATAAATTTAATCAGAATAAAATTTTTAATTATAAAATAAAAAAATAAAATAGTTTGTAAATAGTAGAGAATTAAAGTATAAATAGGTTTAAATTGTATTAATAAATTTATTTAAAGTTATTAAAATATAAAAAAATAAAATATTTATTGTAAAAAAAATACTAAAAAATTTTTTATTTAATTAAAATTAGCAAATAACTATAATTAGCTAATATATATATTTAAAAATTTAATATTCTTTAATAAGAATTAACTTAGTATACTATAAGACTTTCTATAATTAGAAATAACTAATCAAATATGTAGATAATTTTAATATAGTTATTAACTAATTATTTCTTGAATTTTAATAAATTAGCTAATTATTTTGCAAAAATAAAATTATAAAATTCACAAGAATTTAAAGAATATGTTATAAGATAAAGCAAAAGTATTAATTTATCTATTAAATTTACTTTTGTTTTATAAAAAGTTAAGCTATCTAAGCTTTTAAAAAAAGTATTATAAAATATATAAAAAAATTATTTTTAAATTATATAACTATATTAGAATTACGAGCGACCAGGTTCTTAGTGGGGGGACACACTAGCCGAACTGCCGGCCCGCCACCAGAGAAAAAGGACTTGTGCTCTGAAAGCATGTACCAAGGGAAGGGAGACCATGAGGCACCTAGAGCCTGGGCAGACCGACTCTTCCGGGTTGCCGGCTGGAAGTAAGGGAGGGACCAGTAAGGAATCTGGGAAAGAAAGAAAGTTGGAACGTGGGTACCGGGATTGTTGTGAACCTTGCAAGGGCAGGGGTATGTAAGTAGGAACTAATTAGAAAGGTTGTGGCTCGAGATACGGATCGAGTTATGGTAGTATCCAAAAAGATAGCTTGAGATACGAACCCGGTGGCGGCAGCACAACAGGTACTAGTTAGGAAAAAGTTACTGAACATGCAGGTGAGCACATGTGTGGGACATGTGCTGCTCTGTTAGGTTTACCACAAAGATAAATGCCCCAATATGGTTTGGCTAAAGTCTTAGGGTTCTTATGCGGCATTGTTAATCCCAAATGGGTGTTAGGGTAAAGCGTGTTACAGAAATGGAGCCAGAGGATTTAAATGGGTATCCCCCATAGTTGGGTGCAGATACGGCAGCTAGTGTGGAACCTAGGGCAGACTACTTAAATAGGCAACCAAAAGTTGCATGTATAGCTAGTCGTACTCTCATTAGTCAATAATCAGAGAGCTTAAATAGGTAATTTCCTAGTTAGGTTGCAGGTATGGCGACTATTGTAGAACCCAGGCGGACTACTTAAATTAGGTACCAAAAATACACGTGTGGCTAGTTGTATCCTCATGAAAATTAATATAATATCATATTTATCTGAATAAAGCTAAGTGCCGGAGACCTAAGTGGTCACCTTAATATTAAAAAAAAAAAAAAAAAAAAAACTATATTAGAATTATTTATATATATATTAAATAGGCACTCATATTTTTTTTATAATAGACTCATCATGTAGTATATCTAGATACAAACTAAAATATCAATTTAGTTTTTTTAAATATATAGACTGCTTATTATAAATATATACTAAATATGCATACTCTTTAAAATTTTAATAATATAAACTTTTAGCTATATACTAGACTTGAAACCTAATATAGATTTTAAAATTAATAGAATATAAAAGCTTTAGATCTTGCATATAGTAAATTGTTGATATAATTGTAATTAAAAATTTGTTAAATTTTTTAATTATAATATTAATTTTTTAATAATAAAATTAAATAAAAAATCTATTATTTTTAAAATCTTATAAAATAGCAATAACAAGAAATGATATTTTTAAAAATTATATTATTATTTTGAAATATATAAATAAAGGCTTATTATATCAAAATTTTTATTTAATATAAAATAAAAATAAATTAATAGTTTTGTAATATATATAGCAACTGAAGTTTTTATAAATAGCTATTCACACAGACAGATAATATCTATAGCTTTAGAGTTATTTTATCTAAAATATTAACAAAAAAGAGAATATTTAATAGTAAATCTTTTAATATTAATTTTTCAATAAAAATTTATAAGAAAAAAAGCTAGAAAATGTGTAAACCAAAATCAGAATAAACAATTTACAACAACTGTATTAATAATATATTGTTAAATCTTTCAAAACTAATATATATAGTAAACAGGTTTTATATCAGTATTGAGAGGTTATTAGATTTGAAAACATTATTGTCTAAAGTGTAGCAAAGAATACTTTACTTCTACACTATTTTATATAATGTTTGTTAGCAATAGCTAATTAAATATTTTAATTTGGTTATACTATATATCTCTATATATTTATAATCTACTAGCTAGATAAATTAACTAAGTAATAAAAAAATTAGCTGCTCTAGCCAGATATATTAACTAATTGCTTCAAATATTTATCAGCTTCTAATATTCTAGTAATTATTAAAATTATATAACAAAAACAAACTTGGCAAATTAATTTTTATAGATTTGATAGTTTACTAGTTTTGATAATAGTAATTAGTTATTGGCTTAACAAGATAAAACAAGATGATAAGATACAGAATATCTAAAGATAAAAATTATAAAATTTGTTTTATTTTCAAAAAATTTTATATTAAAATTTAATATTTTTGTAAATTCTTGTATTTTGATTAGCTAAAAATTAACAATTAAAAAATATTTTAAAATTAATTTTGAAATTAGCCAATAGCAGTAAGCTAAAGCATGTAACTTGTCCTATTTTTAGCTAAATTTTTACATATTTTATAAAAATACTATTCTTTAAACTATTTGAAATTTAGAGCAAATTTGTCTTGAATTTTACTATAAAAATACTTCTGATCTAATTTTTTAAAAATTTAATATATTTTTTTTAATAAAAATTAAAAATAAGGATTATATTTTTATAAAATTTATATTTAAATTATAAAATAAAAAATTTAACTTACTTATAAGCTAAAAATATACAAAGTTTAAAAAAAATTTTTAATTAAAAAAATTTACAATTTTTTGACAAACTTTTTAAATATTAATTTTAAACCTATAGTTTCTTAATAGAAATTATAGTTTAAATAAAGAATAACAACTTTTATTATTACAATCTTTATAACTTACTTGTAAAAATTAAAACTTATATTAGAAGTAAAAAATTTCTTTATAAACAGGAATATATAAACTTTTAAAAAATTTAAAGAAAATTTTTATAGTAAAAAGTTCAAAACAAAAACTTTAAATTTTTATTTCTCCTAAATTTTTTAATAAATTTAAAAAATTTTCTTAATAAAGTATTAGAATATATTTAAAAATATTTTTTTTATTTAGAAAGTATATAGCTAAAATTAATATTTAAAATTTTATTTTAAAAATAAAATTTTTAAAAAATTTTAGTGCAAATTTGCATGAGAAATGACTTAAAGGATACTTTTAAACTTATTAATTAAAAATATATACAATAGTTTTCAAAAACTAAGGCCGCCAAGTTGTAGCAAAATAGCTAAACTACAAAATAGTGGCCTATTTTTTGGGATATTGTTTTTATATTAAATATTATTTGCTTTTAAAGTTTGTGAAGCCTTTAGGTGTCCCTTGATGAATCAAAAACAATTCTTGAAAGGCAATAAAACTAAATATCGAATCATCCAAGTATTCAAATCACATTTACACTAGCAAACTCATTATGAGAAATAGCGACTGGAGATTATTAGATTTGTCTGAATTTTCTGATAACATATAACTTAAAATTAAACTACTTTTAAACCTCTCAAAGCTAATATGCATGGTGGGTAGGTTTTGTATTGGTATTGAAAAATTATCAGATTTAAAACAATATCATTATAACTATTAAAATTATATAGCAGAAACAGACTTGGTGGATTAATTTTTTATCAGATTTGATAGTTTATCAGTTTTGACAGGATCGATTTTAAGAAGCTTAACAATAATTAATTATTGGCTTGACAAGATTAATCAGGATAATAGTAACGAATTAAGAACAATTCATGGAAGCCAATAAAACTAAATATCGAACATTAAAACATCCAAATCACACTTACGCTAGCAAACTCATCACAAGAAATAATAGCAACTGGTAGATTATCAGATTTGTCTAAATTTTCTGGTGATATATAAATCAAATTGAACTACTGTTAAACATATTGATATTGAGAGATGATCAGATTTGAAACATTATCATTATAACTATTAAAATTATATAGCAAAAACAGACTTTGCAGATTAATTTTTTACTAGGTTTGACAGTTTATCAGTTTTAACAGGATTAGTTTTGAAAGGTTTAACATTAATTGGTTATTGGCTTGGCACGATGAATTAGGATGATGGTAATGAATCAAAACCAATTCTTGAAAGACAATAAAACTAAATATTGAATCATCAAAACATCCAAATCACATTTATGCCAGTATGAAAAATAATAGTAACAGGAAGATTATCAGATTTGACTGAATTTCTGGTAATTGGGGGTTTGAGAGATTCAATAGTATTCACATTTTTTACTTAAAATATTGAGAAACAATAGAATATAATTTTATTTGAAGATTTTTTTTTTTATCATTATACTAATGCTAATGCTAATGATAAACATAGACAGTATTAAGTCTGAACACAGAACTTGTACCTTTGTCTAATTCAGTCCAATCATTAGACCAGAGAGCATTGTTTATAAAACAATTTTGGCTAGTAAATTTATCGATTTTTTATCAAATATGTTTTAGAACAACTAAAAACATTTAAATTTTTAATTCTGTTACTAGTTTATAGAAACATTGAAATCAAAGAATACTTTTAAATCATTTTTCATCAAATTCCTCTGAATACAATGTATTTATAGACAAACTTGAAGTCAAAACTTGAAATCAAAATTGATATTTTGATCTATTTTGCACGTTTAAATAATAGATCTGGATTATTCGAAAGCATTGTATTAAATAACAATATAACCTTTCTTCAATCATTATAAAATTTTAATTATCAAGTCCATTATTTATTTTATTATCAATTTTTATTTTTATTAGTTCCATTTATTTATTACGGTTATTACTCCAATATCTGCGAATTCGTTGTAATGTCCATCCTTCTTCTCCACAATCAAGAAGCTGATTCAAAATTTCAAATGCCTTATCCTCAGAGAATATATCAGAATTAAGTATTGATTTAAGAATCTTTTTTTCATTTTCATTAGTCTGTCTACGTTGGCGTTTATTTAGATGGATCTCTGAACTATCTTCTGGCCCCATATTTTTAACTCTTTTTTTTTTGTTATTACTATCATTTACAATTGGTATTAATTCTTTAAGATCTTCAAATTTATATGTTATAACATCACGTTTACCACGACCCTTTATAACCTTTGTTTCAGTCTTATAAACATCTTGCTGTAAAATAGAATTAAGTCGTGAAACACCACGGTCATAACATGAAAATAGTCGTTGAAAACCCATTTCATTTGTCTCTTTTGTATATTTAAATAGCTCATGGGTTTTGGGATTCTCCAAAGAAAAGGCAACTTGTAATTCATAAATTAATCTCCACAGTACTTCTTTATGTGATTTAACTGTCCTATCTTTTTGAGCTATCATTATATCTCCTATATATTCTGATAATAACAATGATAAACGATCTCTTTCATCCTGTACTGAAGAAATTTGCCGTTTTAAATCTTCAATATTCATAGGTTTTCCTCTAATATTTTGTTTGACAAAGTTAACTCCAAGTCGTTCAAGAGCTTCATCAATTCCAAAGTAATGTCCAGGGCGCGTTAAATTAACTGAACAAACATGGTTAAGTAATTCTTTAAAAGAGGGATAATCTTCAATATATGATAAAAAATGTGTTACAGATTTAGTATAATTAAATTTTCCAGCTACGGGAAATAATGGTGCAAAAGCCGAAAGATTTTTAAACTGCATTTCGAAGTTACCTCTTCGAATTCCTATCTTGTGACCGATCCAGTAACCAGCCCATTTAAAGTAACAATACCACACTTTTAGTATATCATTATTACTATGTTCAATATCACACATCTTCTCATTTCTACTGATTAAATATTGACTAATCGCTACACCCACCGCTATCCATATTAATTCTAGAACCCGACAGGTTGCTTGATAATCAACTACCTTTTCCAATTTATCTAAATATTTAACCCCAAGTTTTGCTGCTAAATCGAATATTCCATAACCAGAAAAAATATTTATCAACGCACTACACATATCCTTCGAGGTATGCCATTGTCCTAAAAATGGCATTATATTTTCTTTTTTTTCCTTGTAAGTTATTAATTTGGGAAATATACCTCCATCAGCTGCTATACATAAATGTTCACTATTGTCTATACCTACATCAGTAAAGTACATGTCACATGCACTTTGAATATTTTCATAGCAGTTTGGGTTGTCTCCAGGCTGGAGAATTACGACATTAGGCGGTGGAACTTTACATCCTATTTCTATATTACTAGCAATTGTATGTAAAAAGTCATTTTCATCCCAATTATTAAGCCTAGTTTCTAAAAGATTGCGTAATGTTTGTTCAAAATTAGCAAGCATATTATCAGTAAAGGCTGATGTGCCAAAGATATTTTTATTGGCACATTTATTTCCTTCAACTATCGAAGTAAAAGGTTTTAAATCAATTGGCAAAATAAATTGAAAGACCATTCGAAGAATTGCATGAATGGAATTACGTGATACATTGTAAATATTTCCGTATGCAAATGTTTTCTCAAAAAGATCAATATTGTCCAATACCGCTATATTCCATATATTATAACCCTTTAATAATTTTCTTTCCGGATTTACCTCTTTAGTACGATTTTTCTCTAGTTGCTGTTCATAACGTTGAGTATGTGATACAACGTTTGCTGTATATAAGATACTATATAAAGATGATAGTAGCTTGGGTTTGCGGCACAAAGAGCTCATCATATGTGTTAACCAAATATTGGTTCCGGAAAATGCGATATTTAATATAATCGAAACAAAAAATGTTGATATTTTAACTACTTGAGATATATCAAAGTCCTTCTCCACCAATCCTCTTTGCTTCCTCTTCCGTGTTACAATTTTATGTTTTTTTTCTAATAAAGTATAAAATAATCCTTTAAAGAATCCGGATAGACAACTAGGAAACGCACTCTGGTAATCCTCTAAGGAATTTGGCTCTTCGAGCTTTTTTTTATTTTTTTGCACTTTATCGCGTGATTTCCAAATTTCATTCCCTAATGCCTCACCAATTTTAGACGATGTTTCATTATCAAATTTATAACATTGGTTTGTAATTTTCATAATATTAATATGCCTTAATCTTAAGGCAGTTTTAAAATACAAAAAGCTTGGAGGCTTAATAGAGCATGGTTCTGGTTTCATTGATAGTATAGAACCTAAGTGTATCAAAAGATTTGTTTTATATTCATTTTCTGCTGATTCTGAAATGCTTAAGATCCAATTTCCTATGAGCTTAAGTGATTTAGCAGCATCACTATCATGCTTGTCCTCACATGAAAAGGAAGACTTTTCGCCACGCTTATTTCTTTCAAAAAAATGTCCACCTTCTGAATTAAAACACTCTGCACATATATAACGTGGCCGGTATTCACTAATAGAATTGTTTTTTAATAACTCTCTATGAGGTAAAACTGGACAAGTTTTTAAACCAATACATGGCATTTGTACATTACGGTCAACCATATGTATTGAATGTTGAATACATGTTCCTCCACGGCTAAAAAAAAACTTATATCTATTACAAAATAAACATCGACGATGATAAACCCAACTTTTGTCAATAGATCGTTGTTGTTTAGCATGTGGTTCATGAAGCGATTTGTGATCAAACATAAAATGAGCATAACAAACACCTAAGCTGTTTAGTTTATTCTCCTCCTTTGCTTTTAAAAATATTACATCGTCGATTTCCCATGTTCCAATTAGCTGAGTTAGAGGTCTTTGCCTTGCAGTTTTATTTGAACAGCATTTAATAGAACCATCGATAATGTCCACAAGAACACAAGATGTCAGACTTTTTGAAGAAGCATTCTCAATTAATTGTGTACTTCCTTCCGTTGATTCAGGTAATTCTGTCTCTAATACTGATGTATCAATTTCATTTTCTGCTTCTATATCCTCCCACGTAATTTCATCATTTTCACCAATATTAGCGTTAGCCATTATATGCGCTTTTTCATAACTTAATTTATCCCAAATAAATGGACGCATTTCAATTTCACAATCATTTGTAGTACTCTCAGTGCTGAATTTTTCAGATGCAAGACTCTCACTAATAAAACTTGTATTATCATTGTCTAACAGATAATCATCTTCATTTGAATTAACACATTCATAATTACCATTAATAAAATTTAAAAACATTGTCCCGTGTGAACTTGAACTAGCACTAGTAGTTTCTTCCATTATCTTATCGTTATTGTTATTTGTTCAAACTTAACGTTAGTGTTGTGCCACTACTTCAGTACTTAGACACACATTTAGTCGCTAAAATTAGATCTTGCGTCAGACATTTAATTAGCGATAGAAGTCTGTGGGAATTCGTATGATAAACCTTTTTTAAGAAAAAAACAGGAAATTTGATAACAATTACTATAATGGTAACGATCTCCTAACCTTTTCTGAATCTACTTCATAGCGATAATGATAAAAAGAACAATAAAATATCACATTAGCTTATTGTTTATTGTTATTATTGATATATAAAGTTGAAGATATTATCATTATTCCGTAAAATATGAATTTCAAGTTGGTACATATTTCTTCGTTACAAATTGAATATTTATCAGATTTCTTTTTTTTAGTGTTAGCATTAGCTTAGTTTGTCCGGTAGTTTTCAATATCTCTACACGCTTCTTATGACAAGAATAGGTATTACTATTACGAATTTAATATATTTTAAACTTCTTTTTTTGGCAATATTATATATTAGCCATATTGTTAGTGTTAATGTTAATTTTTCTCCAAGTTCACTAATCAGAGTACCAACATCAATGTTAGTAAAATAGTCGATATCGATATTTTGATTCTAAAAATTACATACTTGGTATTCAATATTTATATCGTAAAATCATAACGATAACTGAAAATGTGTATTACCACAATATTTTTATTTCACAAATTATTTTCCCATTGGAGGAGTTAATGTTAATGGATGCTTTTCCAAGGTTTAGGCCGTTCTCAAGCATCTAAATCAATTGATTAAAGAATGATCGTGATGACGCTCAAGCATCACAATCAATAGCGATATTTATAGAATTAAATGCTTGAGCATACTCTTTTTCTATTTTTCATGATCTTCGTTATGCCGCCTAAAGCGTCTAAAAAATCCAATAAAAAAAATTCTGTTCAACCGACTGCCGAATCTTCAGCTTCGGTTACGTCGGTTTCCCCTTTTAATGATTTTACCAATATTAACCTTTTGTTGCAACAGCAACAACTCATGGAATAATTAGCAAAAGTTGCTTTGCAGCAACAAGAAGTAAAAAAAAATTCATTTAGTTTATATGAGCGAAAAATGGAATAGCAGTATTCATTACGGTTTGGTTAAATGTTGTTAAAAGATGTGTTGTATTAATTACGTTCATATCAAGGTGTCGATTATTTGTTTTAAAAGCTTCGAGCATTAAAAATAAAGTGGCTATTTTTGATATGTTAAAATGTAAAAGTAGTGCTTGAGCGATCTTTATCAATGGTAAATTTTTGGAGAAAGAAGGTGGTTTTTATTTCGTTGATTTGTTGATCGAATTGGTAACTCACTTGATTGATTTATTTAATTTCCGACTAATTAAAAATTTACGTCCGATCCATTGAGTGAGACGGCCATAGTCAAATCTTTAATATACGATGGTATGTAGCCCTTTATTGCTTATTTCTCTTTAATTTCTTTAGTGACGAATTTGTATTATAAAAATTAATTATTTGAATTCCTTATAACAAAATACGTTAGGTAATATATAACTTATAAAGAAAATAGCGATAGCAAAAATATTTAGTAAAATCACTTTTTTAAAAATAATAAGTGTGCATTTATGCTGAGTTTTACAAGTAGCTAAAGCCAAATTATGGATGCAATTGTAGAGAGTGTGCATTTTCCAGAATGTATACATGAAAAATAATAGATTCGTGTGCAAAAACTCGTGATTTGTAACCATCCACTAACATAATTCTTTATAGCCTACTTACACGATAACATCTGATCGATAATATTGTTCAGTGAAATTTGGAAATTGATTGTTGAATGCATAATTTATTTTTAGTAAAATTGTACATCCAACTAACTGGTGTTGTGACCGTTAAAGCCAGTTTTCTATGAAAATGGATACGTATGTAGCGTGATAACTTAATGAGATTCTAATTTGATAATTAAGTAACGCGATAATTTTTTATTATCATAAAATTTTAAATCTTTGCAAAAAAATATTAGATAAACATTTCAATATAGAATATGCTTTGTTTTTTCCTTTGGTTGTTGCAGAATACGTGTAGTGTTGAACCTATATCAGATATAACTTCACAGATGCTGTATAATTTCTTACATAATTCGTGCAAAAATAGTATTTAATGTAAATTACGTATAAGATGATGTTGTCAAGAAAAAACTTGTATTCCGATATATAAAATTTATAATTTTGATTACAGGTTTTTGTAACTACTGATCTATTTCCTAACGTTGACCCGTCTATAGATTCCCTATTTTATCGCGATTATTAAAGCCGGCCAATTTATCTTAATTCTGAATTTGTGTTGGGCCAACACAATCTCAGAATTGTGATAAATTGACCATCGCAATAGCATAGCGGGCTTTCATTCCGATTGGCTACTTTTTGTAGATCATTCCGTGATTTTACAAGATATGATTGGCCAATAGAAAACAAGTTCAAAAAATTTAACGAAAGAC